AAGAACTAGGACTCTCCGGTTAGTGCGCCCGCCGCTTATTAAGCCCAATTTATTCTGGACCCGGCGACTACTGTATTATGAAAACATGAGAGCTGCATGTGGTAGGTGGCCGCCAAAACTCAGCACGGCCACCCCACGGCCCCTGGTTAGCATTAAACAGAACACCCCGCCTATAATCCTTTTACACTATTAAGCTCGAATGACCTCAGTTCTACACCGTTATCCATAGGCGCTTCAGCGAAAGCACGTGCTGCCGGTTCAGTCAACGCGTCTTGCTAGTCTACTATGCGTCACCGAGTCACGAGTTCGGCATGAGACACAAGCACGCAAGCTGAGTATCGATATGCACCCCCCTTCCCCCCACCTCGGTCTTCATTACTATGATCGTGCTTATGCAAATCAATCTCTGAATTGACGAATGGAAAAAAAGGATGACCTTGCTTGTGACCAGTCCAGCGGACTCGGTGAAGGTCGATGCTTGTAGAACACATTTTATTTTCCCCAGATTGTACCTCAGTTAAGACGAACTGCCTCTTAGCATGGACATGAGTTAATGACAGAAAGTCACCCTGTGGACCACTTAGGGAGGCACGAGAATCCTGACACACAGGGTAAGGAGCTGTTCCTGTCGTCCTGAATTTCATTACCTCAGGGATTTATTTAACCATGCGTCGGTTTGACGCACTGTGAATCGCGGACTTACCAGTCTGGAGCGTCTTCAAGGGACCACGGAGGGCCAACAGAACTCTCCAGAACGCCGTCAACCGGATTAAGAGTGACGTCTTATTGCTTAGTCGACCTCTGAGTTCTCATATTTACCCAGTATACTCATTTTCATAATTTATTATAACCAACAAAATTTCGAAAATATACCTGTCTTTTTTGCCAGAAGTCTCAGCGCTCTCTGTAGATGACGCAACGTAAGCGCCACACCTAGGCTATGCAGTCTTGCATTGTAATTATCTCTTCCTCCACCACCACCTCCCCCATCTCGAAGTTGTGAACGATTGTTTAAATCGTCAACTTGCGAGGCCTAAGTAGAGGAAATTGCAACAACTGTTGATTGCCGAAGTGTTCGCGACTCTTTCTGCCTTTGGCACTTTCGGCCGCTGGTTTTTCTTTCCGCAACTTTACGACTGCGTTTCAATTTTGACAGCTCACTCCCTAGTTTTTCAAAAACTCGGAGCTTGTCTCAGCATAGCCTGACGTCGGCTAGCGTCTTTACCGCACAATGCCTAACCTGTTTCTGCTTTTGACCACGTAGGCTTGGAGCGTCTTCTTCCGCAGCTGGCTCTCCTTCATCCTACTTGTCTCCGCCTGCATCCTCTGGATCCTGCCAAACTCGCGCTCAGCCTGCCTTGTCTGTAGCCCGCTGATTGTGGCCTATGGCATGTGCATCATTCTGCTGCAGTACGTCTACTGCTTCAACCTCTCAGAGACCGAACTGCCCACCTACATCAACCACCTCTCCATCAACCTCACTGAGGTCGGCCTGCATCGTTGGACCACGCCCGTAGGACCTCTAGCTCTTCAGGTATTATACTGAGCCAGTGTTGTCACTGACCCCTACCCTTCCTTGGCGTTTCTCTAAATGCTTTGGCCCTCAAGTAACTCCCTGCGTCATGATTTTAAGTCCAGTACGTTTTTTCCCAGGTGGTCCCGCTTTTATCTAACACAGTGGAGCCTCGGGTGACGAGCAACTCTATCTACAAGCATTTGAGATAAAGAGCAAGCCACTCGCAGAAAATGTGTTTCGATCGACGAGCTTCCTTCCATTTAATAAGTTGTCAGTGTTTGTGTCCGCCCTTGAGTCTTGCTCCCAGGGCGTGAGCCCCAGTCGCGCCTGCAGTTAATCCGTAAACAAATGCAATTTAATTGGCTACGAGCTCTCTCGAGGCGCGCGCCTCCAGCAGGCAACCAACCATGAACGTAACCTCGATCCCCATTGTCTCCCTCAAGCCAGCAACCACTCCTCATAAGGCAAAATACAACTGAAAACTGTAAAAAAACATTATGATTACATTATAACATTTCATATTGACGTTTTTCTGGGGGTCGCACAAATTAATTTTATTTCCATTATTTCAAATGGGGAAATTCATTTCCCAAGACGAGGATTTCAGATGGCGAGCTCGCTGCCGGAACGGATTAAACTCGTTTACCGAGGCTCCACGATACCGTCTTTCGACAGGCAAGAATGACTGCATAGGATTACTTGTAGACAATTTCACTCGCTTCAAACCTACTGCCACTGCCACCACCGTCATCGTTGCAGTTACAGGCTTTGGGGACTATGACTGTCCAGAGGACGCAGTGAGGACCTGCACATAAATTTTTTTTATTATTGAAGCGAGCTTCCGGAGCGCGTATTATCGCCTCACCCCTAAAACACCGCCTTCTTTCAATTACCGGACGATTGAGGAGGGAGTACGAGTGTTGCACTTGTAAACATTACCTGCCTGCTTACGCGTACCACGCTTGAACTGCGCTTTAGCCGGCCTTCAAAAAGAGGGGAGGGGGATCCCAGGTTTCAAAAACTTTGAAGACAGTGTCAGTAGGGACCCTCAGTTATGCGTAGAAAGGAGCTATACATTCAGGTTAAGGCTGCTAGCCGTCGTGACAATTCGAACGCGCATTTATTGTGGGGAAAGCAGTAGAGATGGTCGCCTAACCAAAACCTTTCAGGTCATGGTTTCGCAGGCACCCTTCGCCTG